GCAAGTGTGCAAGCCTATTTTGAGATATAAAGGTGATAACTTTTCTTGTGTTTTAATTTCAGAGATTTGTAAACTAAGTGAAGTGTAAGTAGTAATGTTAATTCTTAACTCTTGCCCTTTATTTTCTTCCAGATTTCTACCTGGCTGCTTTCTTCTAATACTTCTTATTTGCCTTCCATTTTCTCAAAAGCCCCCTCTTGATCTTACCATTTTTTGAGTAAAATGCCACACTCATCCCCCTAGTGACAGACTGTGCACTGAGCTTGTGCCTCCTGAGAGAAGCATATTCCCTACCAAAGCTAAAAGATCACTGCACATCAACAGTGGTTGCTTCAGAATGTGCAGGAAAGTTGGTACCAAATTGACCAACATAATATTAATAATTTAGATAAAAAATGCACCTGGACAACTAAGCAAATCAAGTGCCATCTGAAGTAAAAGTGCGCAGGTGTGCACCTGCAACAAGTACAAGTACTTGTGTGAAAATTCTCAGATCTCAGACACCTGCACCTCAGGATGAAAGTGGGTTGGGTCAAACCGCAAGTGACCCGCAAACCGTCAGGTCTCGGGGCGGGTTTGGGTCGACTTGAGGTGAAAAAAAACTAAGTGACCCAACCCGCTTGCAACCCGCTTCATTACCGGGTTGAGTTCGGGCAGCGTCTTTTGATTTTGGGCCAGCCCAAAAACCCAACTCCTGACCCGCTTGAGGGCAGTCTGGTCTGTGGGTCTGATTCAGCCTTCAGAATCTGAAGCCAACCCACGCAGCCTTCAGGATCCTGGGAGTGACTGGAGTCCAGACTTTGATTGGTCATCAACAGCAACTGTGCTACATTTGATCAGTCATCAACTGTGCTACGACCTACACCTACACCACAAGGGCTGAAGGACACTTCGATTAATCATTGCAGAATCATATAACCAATCAAAGTTCAAACCCACAAGCGACTCTATTGAACAAGCTCGCCGGGAGGATAAGTTAGCAAAAATTAGTACTTATACCAGCTCGTCGGGAGTTGCTTAGACATGACAAGCTGGTTTAAAAACCAGCTTGCCGGGAGGGATTCCTCCCGGCGGTGTGGCCTCTTGGCACCGGGTATCCCAAGGGATACCCGGATACCCGCCAGTATTTCAGGGGGAAGGGTGCATCCGCACCCGAATCCGCACCCGCTGGCGGGTATCCGCTGGCACTGGCGGGTATCCGCCAGCGGATAGCGGATATCCGCGACCATCTCTAATCCTGACCTGCACCTGCACCCACACCTGTAGGCAAGTACTTGTTGGAAGGCAAAAAGTAGCAAGCACTTGGTGCCATCTCTACTTTGGATGAGTCTTGTTTTAAAATCAATTCAGAAAAATAAACACTTCCATGAAGTGCCACCACTCCAGGTTTGGTCATAGGTCCCCTTGACTCTGCCAACTGGTGAGGACATCATCAAGGAGGTGCTGATAAGCTCAAAGAGCATTATGAGGGGCCATACCATGTACAACAGGTGTTCAGCAACAGCCAAAACATTCAACTCAAACTCCTAATAACCATAAGGCAAAGGCTATCACCCCACTCTCCGCATCTCTAAGGTCAATTGGGTTTTCACACTGGATGGATCCAAAATGGTGGAACCTACAAAATAAGTTCCTCTCAATCAAATAAATGGACTTGCTGATTAATTCAGACACTTCTTGTCAAGATTTGGTATTTGCGGGCTCAATATGCTGTGCCTATCAATTTTTGGGATGAAGCTGCCCGCTATGGATTGCTCCTCATCAATATCCTCCTGTCCAAAGCTTTGAATTGGTCAAATCCCAGTTGGTTTATTATCAGAACTTAATCTCAATATTGAACCAGTCAGAGAAATCAACAAGCTCATACCTTTTGGTCCCAAGGTTCATGTACAGTGGGTGGACCGTTGTTTTTGGATGCTTGTTTTGGATCCCAGAGCTTCAAAGCACAAGATTCAAGTCATGAGACTTGGTCAAGTGCTGCAGAATAGGTTTCAAAAAATGAATATGAAAAAATAAAAACAAAAAAACAAAGTGTCGAATTTTGTGAAAAATAAAAAATAAAATTGATTTTTTTCAAAAGCTTTGATATTCATTTTGAGGAAGTGTGAGTGCAGAGAGATAGAAAGAATGGAAAGTGGGAAGAATGATTATAAATGAAAATTTTGGAAAAAGTGGTTACCAGATAGTTTTAACCAGTTGTTGAGTGGGACATTCACCAGCTCACATTGCAGTAAAGCACTAGAATTTACTGTTTTGACTCCAATCTGGACAACCAACCTGGCTCAACCTTTTTTGGTTCCAATTTTTTCATTTATAATCATTCTTGCCATGTTCCACTCTTTGTTTCTCTCAGCACTCCCACTCCCCCAAAATGAATAACAAAGCTTTTGGAAAAAAACATTTTTATTTTTCACCAAATTTAAAACTTTTTTTATTTTTTATTTTTTCATATTCATTTTCTGGGACCTATTCTGCACCAGTTCACACAGTCTTGCGACTCAAAGTTTGTGCTTTGAAGCTGTATAATTCAAAACAAGCAGCCAAAAATAACGGTCCACCCACTGTACACCCCTGGCTGCCTTTGAAGATTTCTGTCCCCTCCCACCTGCTCCTATGTTTTGGTTTTGAACAGTGCTCAGATGTGTATTGGTTCAACTCAAGCCCACCATTCAGCTGTAAAACACCTTATATGATATCTTTGAGGAACCTCTGAGTACAGGACAAACTAAACTCAAACCTCTCATCTAGATGAAGGATTCATGTGCAGCTGGGCTGATGCAAACTATGCTAACTCTCTAGTCACCAAGAAATCCACCCCTGGATATGTAATACACTTCTATGGTAAACCAATTTGCTGGTCCACAAAGAAGAAACAGGTAGTAGCTCAATCCACCACTGAGGCAGAATTTGTGGCAATGAATAGGTGTGCAAAACTTTCACAGCTTTGATGGTTGAATAATCTGATTCTGGACTTGAAGATCAAAATCAAAGCCCCCAAATTGAAGAATGATAACCCCTGCACAATCTCAATAAGCAAGGAAGCTCAGCTGAATGAAAACACAAAGCTGAAGTTCACTTTCAATATATCCTTGAACCAGTAATGAGGAAACAATTGATAATCATCCATCAAGTGTCCACACATGTGACGATAGCTGATAGTCTAAATAAGCCTCTTGGTTACATCAAGCTTGAATTGTCTAGAGATCATCTCCATCTAACAATTTCAGAATTAAGGGGAGTGTTGACTGATTAACTCCGACTCATTCCGGCAAGTTGAGAATTTCAAATACGTCAGCTACTTGTTCTTCCTCTCAAGTTTGACTCTGCTCCTCGAGTCCTCCAAGACTTTCTTCCTCAACCTCACTATTATTGTCTGATTTTCTGGATCACTTTTGTCTTGGGACTTTGGAAATACTCCCTCGATTCACTTTCAACAATCATCCTAAACTACATCTTTGATCTGTGTCGTGGCTTGAATCCTTATGGTTATCATTCCTCCTCTGTCTCCTCCTCTTAAATCCCACGTGCTCCAAATGTGGAGTTTGTACACCAGGTCTACAACAATCTGAACCAACCGCTCACTAAGATTAACAATACTCAGGAGGAGCTAAGACTCAATTCCGGTGGAGGTAGAAACCTCATATCTCATTCTCAAAGCTTCTCAAATAGTATTGCTGATCTCTCTACTTTTAAATTTCATCTCTTATATTTTCTATCTCAGGCTTGTTATTATGTCCTGCTCTCTCTCTCCAAATTGTGTGTTTTATATTTTCCAAGTGCTTATTGCAGGGATCCAACTATAAGAAGGTAAAACAATCAACTTTTTCATTCATTTATTTTAGTTGTTCTGTTTTTTGATTCATTAATTGATCTTATAATATTACTTTTTTTTTCCTTTTATCACCCTACTCTTGGTTTTACTACTATCAGCTTAAATTGAAAGTTGAAATAAGGTAACATAGGACCTGATATTCCTACAAAAACAGTCCGTAGCATAGCCAAAAAAACCGCTAATAGGGCACTAACATTCCACAATTTGTGCACGATATAAACCAGCTACACTAACACTATTCAGGAAAATATGTAGTTTAATGGCCCAGTATTATTTGTAGGGACCCCAACATACTGACTGGAATGGAGATGCTCTTATAAAATACCAGGAAATGCTTCACTCATCGTAATCTATCCTGCCATCTCATTTTCCAACACCACCAATTCTTTCTGGGAGTGAATCTCATGGGTCCACAATAAGGGGGCGGGGGGATGAGAATAAAGGGTTAAGTTTGCTTGAGTGGACAATTTCACTCTGCTAGCTGAATGTGGAGAAAGTAGTGGGAGTGGGTTGAGGCCTAACAGTATACTAGATTTTTTTTGCTGAACAGCAGCTATGTATTTCTTCCTATTCTACATTCAACCAAAGTTTTCACTTCAAACTTCACTCATTTCATCGCACCCACTCAGTCTCTAGTTTTTTTTTATCATTTTTGCATCCAATGCATATCTTCAATCTCATGTGACATTCCTCTCAAGTTGTCAGTGTGGATCTTGTTAGTGACGTTTGTTGAACTAGTTGGAAGGCTTTCTCTCCAGGTTAGATATTGACATTGGATTCATTCTTTTTTTCTTTCCCTTTCATTAAAATTTTCACCAACTGACGCTCTAGGTTTCTGAGGCTGTGAGGGGGGGTTGATCTTGTTGGGCACAATTGCTGGACAAACAGCAAGAAGGTGTTCTCTTCAGATTCCTTCCAGAACTTTGAATTTGTTTTGTGAAGAAGGCTTTGAGGGATTCAAGGAATGTGTCCCTCAAATTGCAGAGAATGCTGGTGTTGAAGGTAAGAGCTGTGCCCAATAAAGGAAGATACTTGTTAAGATTTCCTTCTTCAAATTGGTTACTACAAGATATTCAGTGAACACAGCAATGTAACAGATATATTCACGAGATGTTACAAGAGAGGTGGAGCTTCTAGGATTGGATGTAGCAATGATAGGAATGGTGCAGTAGGATGGTCCATGCGAGGGGCAGAAGGCCCATGAATGGAGGCGGGGGCAAGGATTCATATACTAGATATCATCAAGTTGAACGTTTGGTGGTTGTGCCGCTTTGCGACTTCTTGGCTTAGGCCAGGGGACTGGTTGGCGTGTTGACGACCACTTGTACAAAAAATCCTTGGCGAGTACTTCCGACAAGTGAACCTCATCGCAATCCACAGGTTGTTCTCTGGCCAATCCAGAGTGGAGAAGACCAACGATATACCTATGAGTTTTGTGCCAATATGGATCGGGATCTATTTACAAGTTGTATAATCAGGTTTCACATAGAAAATGTGGAGAAAAAAGGGAAGGAGAACTGAAGGTGATGTACTGTACTCAAAGCAATCAGAGAGATGTGCTGAGCTGCTCCACTAGGACTGCAGGTGCAGTTGCTTGAGGGGCCAAGAAGAAGTCCACGCACACCAGCCACTGCAAAGCATGCTAGTGCCAACATTGGTGCTGCATCGTTCCCTCGGACTTTGAGTTGTATGCCGTTAATGGAAGAGATCATCGAGTTGACCTGTGCAACAAAGGTCTGGAAGAACATCAGGTCATTGTAGCAGCTTAAGGATTTTGGAAGGGCGTCACTTGGAGCTTTTGAAGTAGCGACGAGCATAGAGGTGAAGACGATGTGCGCCATGGCTTCTTTGACTTTGGGTCCAACCTTGCAAAAACTTTCAGCAACATGTAGAAAGAGAGATTCACAATAAGGCAGCAGCGGCCAGGTAGAAGGGTCTTGGGCAATCAAGTCCTGCAGTTTGTTTGTGTTTAAAAAAGAAGAGTCGTCAAGGTAGCGAGTGGGAATCTGAAATAATTTGGGAACTGTGTATTTGGACAAGATTAGCTTCAAAAAGGTACATATGCGTGGCCAAAAAAAAATCTCAACTCACATGTTTCACCAACAGTGGATACCCACTCAATCACCCAGAGTCCATAACGGGTAAATTGGATACCACATTGCCTCTCTTCTTTTTTAACATCAGGATTGTCGGGAAGTGAAACAATGATCTTGAGAAGGTTTTCAATCATGGCCTCCACTCTCTGGGTGCCAAGTAGGGGAGTGAAACGGAAGAGGGTTTTGTCGGTTTGCTCTTTGAAGATGATGCCAGTTGTGGGAGGCTGGGATAAGCGCTTATTGGGTTTGGGCGCCGGATTGGCTTTCGCGGAGGCCGCTGATTCGAGTGCTCATGCGGTATCATCGGATCTTGTAGTTTTCCGACGAATTAGATGTTCAGCCTTGAGTGCGTCAATTAATCGGGATGGATCAACCCTCGGCTCGTTCATCATCGACGAGACGGAGACACAAGAAAGCCAATCCGGGGGAAGCGAGTTTAGAATTGAGCTCGAGTATATGTCATCCGGGGTTAGAGGCGACTCGGCGGTAATAAGTGCGCTGAGAGATTCAAATGTTCTAGCCATTTCGTCGAGGTGAGTGGGTAGGTCGACGTCTACCATTCGGGACAGTGTGAGCTTCCTCAACCAGTACATGACTCCTCGAGCGGAGGAGTCTTGATCGTGGGCCTTCTTGAGTGAGTCCCAGAGCGCTCGGGCGTCGTTTTTTAGATGTCGGACATGGCGGATGTTGATGGGGTGGATAGTGCGGGAGATGACAGCGCAAACGGCCTTGTTATCGCGATCGAAAGAGGCCTTGGCTTGAGCAACTTCGGGCTTGTCGTTGATAATGTAATCGACGTCGGTCGCCGCGAAGTGGATCTCTAGGATCCAACTCCAATCCAGATAGTTGGAGTCCGATCCAGGAGGCTTTAGCTGTTCTACGCCCGTTAGCTTGAGAGTTGGGTGTCCCGCCGACACATCCGCTTCTTTGGTAGTCGACATGATCGACCGTTTTGATATTCGTCGATTCAATCGATTCGGAAGCGAACACTCGCTTTGAGTCGGAATCAGAATCGACTGATTGTTTAAGTTTTGTATCAGAATCGAGAACTGTTTGAATCGACCGATCGCTGTGAGTCGGAATGAAGAAGAGTCGGTTTGGATGGAGGACGGCACGAAACCACCCCAGCCCGGAGACCCACCAATGAATTGGGCACATCCGCTGTCCGCCCACCACCGGCGGACAATGCCACCAACCTCACTTGCACGGCCCCGCGTATGTACCACAAGTACACATTAAGGGTGCACCCAGAGTTTTCAGGCCGACTGGGCGGAACGGCTCGAAAACAAGATCAAGACATTTGCCGAACGTTCAGACGTCTGGGCCTGCAAGCCGACTTACAGAGGCAGAATGCTATGCGCCTCGGAGCCGAAGCGCCGTCGCCTCCAAACCAACTAATACATAGGAATCGTCCTCCGACGTGATCAGTCGTTCTGGAGGCGACATGAAAAACCCTCCCCACTCGACTAATCACTTATCAGTCTTTCTGGTTTTTTTCTTTTTTTTGAAAGTCAATCTTCTTCCGAGTTAATTCCATAAAAACAATGCTTATGAATATAAGAGGAAAATATGACCAAGAGAAAAACGGAAATGATGTTGTTGATACTTGTTTTCTATATGTAGATATTCTTAATTCTATAGATTGCCAACTGTCGCGCCGTCCACTCGTGTACTTTTCTTCTGCTTCTGTTTTGTATGGCTAGACAAATTAGACAAGAGGGTGACGAGGACTACAATACGAAGCATTCGATTGAAAAGGGAAAGAAAGGGAGAAAAAAAGAGAATGAAGTATGAAGCTGATAATCTTAATAGTATTCTTCATCATCTTCAGCCCCGCCCAAGCCTGAGTCCTCCTCCTCCTCGCCCATCGCATCCTCGTCGTCTTCTTTCTGTTTGCCGGTCGATCGTTTTCGTTGGTCGGTTGAAGGCTCCGGGTCCTCTGCCCCTCCATGCACCGGATCCGGAATCTTGGCCACGATGTCTTTGAGGAAATCAAACGCGGGCGTCACCTGGATGGCTTGCTTCCTATTCAGAAGTCGTTCATCGACCAATTTCAGGAGGATCGTTCAGAATCTTGGGAAAAAGAGACGTTGGAGATTGGCCAATATGGGCTTACAAGTGATACGCTTGAACCTTTCGCGAGCCACGCTGTTGGGCTTCATTGACGGCTGCCTCTACCAAGGATTGCATGAACATTTCTACCGCTTTGGCTACACGTTCATGTGATACGGAGTAAGAAAGAAGCAGGAACACGCGTCAGTAAACGTAATATCTGACTTGTACGGAGATTCAAGCGCGATTAAGATCAAGCTTAGCTTGACGGGCGTGAAAATTGAAGTCAGATTAATGGAGTGAAAGGATGGATGTGGAGGATGGAAGGGGCGGTGGTGTAGGAGGGCTTTGCTTGGAATTGGGACGCATACAAACTAGTAATGGGGTCGCTTGGGCAACTTTACCTACATCTTCATCCGCCTGCATGATCTTCTTTATTCGAGCCTGTCCTTTCATAAAAAAAAACAATGCGATCGGGAAAGAAAGTCAAAGAAAAGAAAGATCAGAAGCGTGACATATGGCTCGTAATTTCTTTAGACACTCGTATTCTTTTCTTCTTAATCAATATCTCGTGAGTTCTTTTTTTTTGAGTAATTTGACTGATTCATTTTCATTTTGGCCTTGGAAAACGAAACGAGTAAGGGATGAAACAGATGGATTGATGGTAGTCGTACGAATGCTAGAACCAACGTACGACTGGAAACCGGGAAGATCCGCCTTTTTTCTTCATGATGTGATTGAGGAGTGGAGATGGAGAAGCTCGGTTGTCGATGGTCTGGGTGTTTGTTGAGTTTGCAACAGAGAGAGTTGGGCGAGGGATGCTTTTGGCCAAGATGCTCTCGATCCTGTATCACATTCACTCAAGTCCCTCGATCAGGGGCCGGGGGACCGACCGACCGGTTGCCTCGGGAAGCAAGCCTCCGATCTCCGAGAGGTACTATTCTATAGTGGCTCAGTGCTATTCCCTTTAGTTTACTTTACATCTCTCAACCCACTCAAGATTTCGAATGTTGGTTTTCACAAGGGGGAATGCCTACTTCATCTGGGCTTTGATATGACAAAATTTGAACCCCTTCACTCATTTCCTTTCTGGGCAAATCTTGGCATAACCAAGAATATTTTTCTATTTGTTCTTGTTCCTACAATGATGGTGATCATACTCTCCAGCTAAAAAGAGAGATTGAAACATACATATTTGATCTTCTGAACTCCAACCACCCAGAATTGGGGTCCAATCAATGCACACTAATTAAGTACCCATATCACCATTGCAGATGTCCAGAAAATTAAACAATCACAGAGCTTCTGAAATTCATCTTCATCGCAATGAAAACACCATTTTTTGCAGGTGTTAGGCATTTGTATTCTAGAAAAAGTGCGTTTGTATTCTAGAAAGATGCAACTAGCCATGAGGGTCTTGAATGACGATGATCCAGAAGATTCAACAGATGATAGAAACTAAACAATCGTCTTGAACTGACAAGAAATCCTCAATCCTGCTGCTTTCACTCTTTCTCCTCGGCTGGTATTTTCTAGCACTTGAAGGGAGACTTCATTATTACCAAGTGACAGTTCAAAAAGAAGTGTGGGGTTATTATATCAACATGCTGCTTGCTTTATTACAAAGGAGATCAAGATGATTACTTTCTGGGGTGAGAAGATCTTGACAGGCCACCAGCTGAGAAGAATGGCTCAGATAGACCTCACATGGCCAAGGTTATTGGCCTGAGAAAGGCCGTTCATAGGCGATATAATATCCTCGGTCCGTCGGTCTTCGTAGGCTTGGCACAGAAGCCTCCCAAGGCTCTTATTATAAACAAATCTGACCAGGCCAAACTTTCTATGGAAAAGTACACCTGCGAGTGTGTATCCTCAGCCGCGCGGGGAAATCTGAGTCCCAACAACGCAAACAAACAAGGCTTCGTGTACATGAACCGATCATGAGAAAATGAGATATTTTACAACAAGGCTTATAATCAGTACGTTCGTTTTTTTTTTTCTGAGATTGTTGATTTGTATCAACGCGGGTAGGCTTCCTATTTGGTGAACATCTTCCTACGGTCGCTACCGCCGCGATCCCGTTCGGAAAGATAGGCACGGTAGGCCTCCTTCAAGTCGTACTGGGTGATCGGCCCCGAGCCGCCCCTTCTCTTCTGCACTTCTAATGCTGCTTGTTGTTGATTTGGGGGAAAAAAGACGAGTCAGAAATTTTCGGCTGGGTGATTGGTCTGGCTATCTATCTATCTACCTTGTTCAACCATGTGGCCTACAAATACTTTCGCAAACCCTCTGATCACGATCGTCACTCTATCAGTCACTGACTGCTGTAGAATCGTATTGGCCAGCTATGAATCGACCAAAAAAACCCCGCCTTAGCTTTTCTCTCTGACAAGACAATAAACCAATCGGAAACAGCTTGGGGATGGGTGGGTGTCTGTTTACTTTGCGGACATTAGCCTTCGCAAGACCCGAGTTCCTGTATTCGCTGTATCGATCCATCTGTTGCGCGTCAAAATGTTCCAGAAGAATTCTGTGAAGAAAGGGATCAGCAAGCTGAGATGACGTTAGAGAGAAGCAAGGATCGCTCTCAACTTGAGTTTATCCTTGTTGAGTAGATCTTCGCGTTTTCGGACTGTGTAATCATCGTCATTGAGCTCTTTGCGATTATCTTCTTCCTCCTGTTCGTTCTCTAATTCGGCGTCCTCCTTATGTTGTTGATCGGCCTGATTTTGCTGATAAGCGGGGCTGGTCCCGGCCTCGTACTGATGATGATGATGGTGGTGATCGAATCCATCCTCGCGATGGTGTTGATCTTTGAGGACGTTGGAGCTCTTGCGACGTTTGTTTGGGTTAGTGGCTGTGGTGTTTGGTTTGGATTTCCTCCGCTGAGGGATCGTGGGGAGGATCAATGGGTGGGAGGGGTTCAGTGGGGAGTAGTATCCCGTCGTCGAGATCGGTGTTTCGGGTGCTGGTGAGAAGCCTGGCGAGGAGGTGTGGCCGGCAGTCTCGTTGGTTGGGTAGTGGTTGTAGGCTGGTCGCTTGTTGGTCATCCTCTGAATCGTTTGGTTCTTGTTGGTTCTGTGAGTGCTGTGTAGTCTGACCAGCTGGGCTCAAGAAATATGCCTTTGATGCCGAGAAACCGGGCGCGAGTCTTATTAGGCTGGGGATATATACTCGGCGGCGTGGGAAAATGACACCGAGGTCTATAGCGCGCCCGGCTAGCTCAGTTGGTAGAGCATTCGACTCTTACAGGGTTCTCCACACATCTCTTGGGGGTGCTGGCATCGAATTGTCGTGGGTTCGAGCCCCACGTTGGGCGCTCCTCTTTTGATTCTTTTGGTGCGCGATGTTTCTCCGTCGGGAGAGTGTCAAGGCAACTACGGTGTTGCACACGAACAGAACAAGGATCAGTTGAATACAGAATGTGTCTTTCCAAAAGTGTTGTCAGCACCCTTGCTTGGGGGTTGGATTAATTCATAAGGCATGATTATTATTAAGTGTTGAGTGGTTGCTGTCTGATCTGGTGATTTTCCTGATTCATCGTCTCCCTGGTAGTGGGGTTCACTGTGGCACCTCAATATCATGAGCACATGATAGATAATAGTTTCTTTTTCTGCACAGCAAAACTCAAGAGAACAAGAAATGAGAAAAAGAAGACATTAATTAATTAGGGCAGTTCACAATCCAGCCAACTCCTTGCTGGTCTTATCTCCTCTTATCAGCTTTGAGTCCTTTTAATTCTCATTCTCTCTTACTAATTTCCTATGTAATCCCAATTCTTATAGTTTGCTTGCTGATGCACAAACCTCATTGAATTTAATCATGGGATTTGGCTGATCTACAGAGGAGCCACTCACCAAGCTGTTTTTACTTGCCCATAAACCATGAATAGCCCACTTAAACAAAGTTTGATCAGCAGTACATGGGCCCCCTTGTTACACAAAGAATTGGGGAAAAAAATTAAGATGAGAGGTGCAAGATGGAGGACATGTTGAAGAAAGGTGTCATCAGTAAGAAAACAGAAGTAATTGAGGATTGAGAAAACTTAAAAGTGAATTGCACCAGGCAGAATTGAGAGTAAAGGCATAGTGAGAAATTGAATTACAAACATGTTGGTCTAGACACCCAGAAAAATCTATGCTCACTAGATGTCAAGTGACATCATGTAAATTTGATTGCTGCTAGTGAGAGATGACTGATGACTGTGAATTGGTGATTTAAACCAATATAATTGAATGTTTAAGTTTGAGTTGTGAGAAATGTAATTTGGGGTTAATTGTATGTGAAACTGGGGATGACTTTCTTAGGACCTGAATGAATATCTTCTAGAGAATATACTCAGTAGAAGTACCAAACATCAATTGAAAACAGATCACTCTGTTGAAATTAACAAGTTAAACCCTTAAGCACCAAACCGAGGCGCTTTTTGCACTTTAACCAGGCATTGCAATGTGCAATATTGTAAGAGACGTCAAGTTCTTACTCAACCTGAGTGCGTTCGTCTATACATCTCGTGACCGGAGACATTCTATCTTCTTATATAGTCTTCGCCCTCCTCCTGCTCGACTTGTATTAATTTTCATCTTTTGTTCTAGACTCGCCTTTTTTTTTGCTCTCTTCATATCATTTCCTTTATTCAGACACCTAATCTGCTTCCAATTCCCTTTCCCGATACTTATTCCAGTCTTGAGGCGAGACACCAGTTCTTCTCACATAGTCTTGGCCTCTTCTTTTCCCATCCATCGTATACACGCTTTCCTCTTTCATGCTAGACCGAGTTTTGTTGTCTATTACCATTTCCATCACTCTTCCCTTGCTAGACCCACCACTTGATTCCGCTTTGTTTTCGGTATTAAGTATTCCGCTTTGCATTCTCTTCATAATCATATTTTGCCTTTTCCGCAACGTTGCCTTTGCTCCCATTGTTGCTAAACTTTTTCTGAGACCTGCCTCGCAACCGTGAACTTCTGTCTATCAGTATCACTTGCCTTCTCTCAATCCTGTTTTTCCTAAAAATTCTCAATAACTTTCCATAAATTTTACCTATGGATTCTCCTAACCATCAAGCTGTGAATAACAACTCCTCACCCTCACCCATTTCCAGTCATTTACTCAATCCTTCTAACATTCAATGCCGACACTGCAGTGCCCTTCACTGGCCCAAGGAGCTCGCTCTCATTGACTTGAAATCTAAATCCTATTCCTTTGTGATGTGTTGCCAAAAGGGTAAAGTAAAATTGCCCTTCAAAGTTTCCTCACATGCAAGAATGAAGAAGAAATTGATTATAAGATGGTACTGATTACGAATGCCTCAGCGGAACATAAACTCGTACCAGGTTTTGTTTATCAACTCAGTGGTAAATTACTACTCCTGAATACGCCTGCACCCCCGATGTTGAACTACTTCCACGAGATGGTTAGTTGAGTATGCTCTGAAGTGAACAAGCTAGAGCAAGGAGAAGAGAAAGTCTTCACATTGGGCAAAGGTTTAGTAGTCACGGTGATGAAACCTAATCCAGCGGCCGAGGAGGATCTCCAACCATCTAGGAAGCAAGACCTAATGATTCTGGTTAATCACAGCAATTGGGATCCTACAGTTGAGTTCCTAAATAAGTTTTAAGATTGAGCGGTTACTGATGCATAGGGTTGGAGGAGAGAAGAGTCAAGTCCTTCAATGTCAAATACATGGTACCGAGTACTCCGAACTTAGTCAACACTCATACAATGTTCAGGAACGGTCGGGAATTTTTTTTAGATGGATTTGTGGTTGGTTGGGATTTGAAGGAGCATGTAGGCATTATAAAGGTAAATTTACTATTTCATGGCAGGCTAAAACAAGGGGATAATTCTTATACTTGGTGATGAAATTTAAAGATATCACATTAAGCCTAATAACATCAGGCCCTTTATGAGTTAATGGGTTTCAATTGAGATTTATTGTGGCGGCGAAGCCGCCATTAGACTCTAGTATGCTTTTAAGTGTCAAACCAAAGGATTTATTTCAGATCAGTGAGAGGATGAAATAAATAAGAAATAAAACAATGAGAAAAACTAAAAAGAAAAGTGTACCTAAAGGCAGGAGCAACAATAACAAGGGACACAACAAAGAAGAACGACAAGGAGATAAGACAAAGAAGAACTAATGATAAAAAGATGTCAGTTGGGATCAGTCAAGTTGTCAAAGAAGGATTGAGTTGATGACCTACTACAATAGGAAACATAATTGAACGTGCTGAAAGTTGGCGGAAGATTGGAAGGAAGGGGAAGCACACGAGGAAGGGTAGTGATCGGCAGAATGTTGATTAAGAAGAGAATCACACGAGTTTGTGATAAAGAATAATATTAGAGTCGACTTTTCTCTACAAGGAAGAATGAGATTGGTGATGAGTTTTGTCAAGAGAAGCTGATGAATCCAAAGACTTCAGAAAGAGTAATAGAGTCTTGAGAAAGGATTTTGAGGATTCATGGGGAGAAAGAAGAGAGAGCAAGTTCACAAGAGAGATTCATTTATGTCTGACTTCACCAATGATGTCATTGGGAAAATAGCTGAAGGTTATGACCGATGATGTCATTGGGAAAATAACTGAGGATTATGTAATCATGATCTTTGGAAGAGTCCTGCTAGAGCTCTAGAGGGATCGAGCTCAGATCTCAACATATGCTTCTTTTGATCAGAAATTCCCCTTCACTTCATAAATTCCAGCTGAAAACAGGTGCAAGGAGGCACATTATAATAAGTTCATTGCAATCAAAAAGCCCAATTTGGGGTTGCTCCTTTTTCATTTAATGTTTTTTCATCTGCTCCATTTTTGCGCGACATTATCACTCATTGTGGGCACATACAGTTTGATATAATACAATTGAAGAGACTGTTAGTCTAACAGTGCAGCATTCCTTTGACTCAAAACCTATCTGAACTGCAGTCTTATGTTTAGCTAGTACATGCAATTTGAGGTCAGCCATGCTAACAGTATCTCAGTGCCAATTTTCTATCAGCTAGCAGTTTTTATAATGGCGGCTTATAGGAATGAGGAACGGCCCACTTAATTTATGTGTTGGCACCAACAAAAGTGCTTTTAGTGCTACAATACACCACTATTCATTCAAAACAGCCTTTAAAAGTGTATCATAGTTACATTTCACTGCTGATAATACTACAACACTAGCAGGACAAAGTGATGGCCACTTATATGTCACCAACACTTCAAGTCCATTTAGGATTGTGGCCCAGTGCTAGTACAAGGAATTGAATAACATGGATTTTTTTGCTTCTTCTCTTGCCCTTGAATTGGTCCAGAATTGGAGTCTTCAAATCAACTGCCCTTTCTCCTCAAGATTACCACCCTCTTTTGCTTCAAGTTTGAGTTCAGAGCCAGTCATATTAAAATGCCTCAAGCAATGGGCCAATGGGCCAATGTGTTATGTTACAATATTTGGGCCTACTTTGGTAACAGTTTAAAATATCTGACAGGCTGTATCAAAACAAAGCACCTTTTGTTATTGTGGGCTGTTGAAAAGTCCTAGATGTTTTAGTGACCAACCTCCCATGAGGTTGATGTCCAAAAAATAACATATCTTATTGATCTTTAAATAGTTTGTTGAAATGATGGTTAGATAAGGGGAAAAGGAAGGCTATGTAGCCAATTGTCAGCCTTAGAGCCAGCCAAGCTGGCCAAAAGACTGCCTAAATCCCCCACGTCCATTCAAAATATTATCATATCTTTTTTACCTGAAGACTTTTATCTTTTCTGGCTTCAGAATTGGATTCCTGGTGTAAAATTAACCCTAGTCACCACTGACCACTTTTATACTACTCCAATCCTTCACTGACTTTGTAATATTTCAGAGTACTTATGAAATATCCACGTACCTTGAGCTTCAGCTCCTTCTACCACATGTACATACAATTATTACGTAATCCAACTCTGAAAATCCTCTCTGAGCTTGTTGATTCCGCTTCCAGAGGATTTTCAGACTCCAGACCAAGACAGAACACCAACAACCAGACCCCGATCAAGCAAACACTTATCAACCAGAAGGACCTCACTTTTCCTACCTTTCCCACTACTCAGTGTCATTGGTATCATTAGTAAGTCTCTTCTCATAAGTTAAGCTAGCATCTTTCTGCTTGTTTCTCTTCTCTGTCTCTCTCAGTTTCTCTTCACTCCTCCTCAAACCAAAGCCCTGATCAAAGAAAGCAAGCCACAGCTTCTATTATCTCTTCTCTTCCTGTTTGGTAGTACAACTGAAAACTACATAGGTTTCCCTTTAAAGAGCCTTGATCTTTGATCTAAAAAATTGTGGTTGACCTGATTCATCAGTGTCAATACCCATTTCAGTTTCTGTTGATTTGGAGGCGTCAGAGTTAGCTCCGCTTATAACAGCTATCCTACTAAGGAAAATAAGACTGTCTGCAGCCATCCTAGAGGGACAGTAAGACTGCCATAATTTAATCTTCTTCATAAAATAAACAAAGAACAAAAAGATTATCCTATTCTTTTCCTTCTCCTCTTTCCCTCTCTTCTACTTTTACTTGTATTTCCTTTATCTTTAGAAATACATTTAAAAGTGCCCCCCAAAACCTTGTGTCCTGCTGTCACTATTGAGACCCAGGCTCACACCAATAGTATACAAATTCTAAATGATCTTACTCAATTGGACTAAAGTACACTCAAGGAAAGGCAGAGATGAGGCTCAAGTATTATTTCAGGAACAGTCATAATCAGAACTGATGATATCTTTATTCTCATGTAAGTTTAACCTGTGGCTTAAAGAAGATAAATACATGATGTTTGAGTTGTGGGAGCAGAAACTATGATCATAACTAATAAAAGGCACTACAATCAGGAAAATGAATTTTAGGCCCCGTTTGGACGCACCAAATTCCGGTATAAATCATACAATTTATATCGGGGGGTGCAGCGGGTATCACACCAGTTTATTTTGTGTTTGTGGCAACCAGAGATATTATAAATGTTATGACGAGGGGATGCAAAAATTTTAGACCCACTGCCAAATCAGAAATACTGGTCCTGGCCCAAATTTTCAGTGAAATATCTGTCTCGTCAAGTTCACAATTGGCCTTATCAAGTTGCTTCAAACCACTTTAACATCATCCATCCCCCACACCACCACCCATCAAAAATCATGGCCCGAGGAAAATCGACTCAACCACGTCCAAAAAAGCAACCACCCCGGTAGCTGCAGCTCCAGCCCCTCCTCCAACACCAGTAAACCCGACCCAAGAATCAAGCCAAAGACTGTGGCCAGTGGGACCCAGAGCTCCCACCAAACAGAGCAATCACAGGAAAACACTCAGCCTCCAATTCAGAACACTCATAACTCTCCGAGCCAGACAATCAACAGCCCCGAAAAGGAGAAGTCGAAGAACCTTGTCTGGACCGCAGGCATGGAGCAAAGCGCCCTTGAGTTGTATGTTCGTGCGGTCGAGAGTGGCAAGCAAGGCGAAGGCGGATTCAAGCCCGAGGTGCATCCATGGGTGGCCAGTGAACTCTTAAAAGATTTCCCTGGAAACCCATTCACCTCAGCCAAGGTCAAGTCAAAGTATACTCAGGGATTCAAGAAGATATACAATGCCTTTGTTGCTTGTAAAGGTGCAAGCGGCTTTGGCTGGAATGAGGCCAAATCGATGGTCACAGCATCCGAGGATGTTTGGAATTCATTCTTGGTGGTAAGTCTTTCTTCAACTCATTTTCAACTAGTGCTGATGCCCCAGTGTGGGGTCTTTTCTGTAGTTGCACCCATCTGCGAAGCGATTCAAAAACACACCATTCCCTGAGTATAGCGACTTTCAGACCATCTTTGAAGGTCACACTGCCCGAGGAGATATGCATCAATCGCCAGGCACAGAAACCAACAAGGAATCTGCTGCACTCGAGACCGCTGATTCTGGAAACCTGCCCGAAACCTTGGAAGCAACTCGTGCACCCACTCAACGACCTGGTGTCCAACCACCTCGCCGACACCGCATCACATCGGGTGACCGGTTTGAAAACTCAATCGATCAGCTTGTTGATGCTTTTATATCATCAAACACCAAAACGGAATCACCTGCAAGCTCGCCGATTCACCTCGCTTTGGAGAAGTTTCAGGAGAAGTTTGCTGATGATCTTGGGTTGGACGAGCTTGTTGCTGGTTTCAGCGTTTTGGAAAGTGATTCAAAGGCTCAATGCTTTCTAGCGATCAAAAATGATGATCATGCTCGGGCCTGGATCAATAGGCAGATTGCAAGCAAGATGGTTCCCGACAGTTGATAACACATTTGATTAACTAATAAAAAATTTTGTATGCAGTTAACCTAGATGTGATTTAGAAGGGAATCAAATTGAACAACGGTCTCTAGCTACATTAGTCAGACTAACAACATGTTAGATGAGCTGAAGATGATTGAGATTGAGCTATGAATGGTGCCTCTGTTGAATGTAGGTTGAATACTGGTCCCACATTTCCTGGGCCATAGTGTCTCTCCATAACTTGTATGCTGCTCGTGCTTGAGCTTGGCTTAATGAGTTTTCATCACCTTCATCATCCTCTTCATTGACCTGTATCTCTTCCTCTGTAGGAGTCCCCCCAATGTAGTCCGGGTCGTCAAAGTACTCAGATTGCCCATTGTGTTTGATAATCAGGCTGTGTAGAACTGCCAGGGCTAGAACGAGGTTACCCTGAGTCATCAAACTATATTCTAATGGGTGTACCAGGATCGGGAATCGTTTCTTCCATGTTCCAAAGGTTCGCTCTACTACATTTCAAAGCATTGCATGCCTGAGATTGAAGAGCTCCTCCTTGTTGGCTGGCCTAAGGGTATATTTTTTGTCAGTCAAGCACCATCGGAATCAAACACAAAGACCAAGTGAATCAGCAGACATACCTCTGCCCTGCTTGGGCATTTTCACGCAAGTGGTACCAAAACCCATGATAAGGGACTAGCATCCCCTTCCCTAGGGAGTACCCAACATCACCAAGGTAGAAAGATCCATTTGGTATTTTGAAATCCTCCGACATTGCACATCCAAGCACCCTCGAGTTGTGAGCAGATCCCTCCCAGCCAACCATCATGTAAGTGAATCTCATATCGAAGTCAACCACCCCAAGCACGTTTTGAGACAGTGTTCCTTTTCGATTTTGATAGGGAGCGGCCATATGTTCTGGTACGAATGCTGGGACGTGGCACCCATCCATTGCACCAATACATCGATCAAAGAACGGCGAGAATTTCGGATTGTCCAATATTGATTCATGTGCTACATTAACTGGAGGCGAGACGATGTATTTTTTCTGTAGTTGGAGCAATAGATATATAATGTGATGAAAGACCCGTGAGATTGTCTCCCCACTGTGCTGAAATCGATCCTGAGTTTGACGGTGTGGAACTCCTATCGTGCCAGGCGGTAGGCAGACTGGTTGAAGGGAAAGTGCTTTGAGGGCTGCCTTCAAGTG